CTTGTGGGGAGAAGAATTTATTGAAGGTTTGTAGTGTAGCAGTCCTTCAGCAGCGATGTCAGCATGTTGCCCTTCAACAATCTTAACCCAAAGTTCTGTCTCTGTGAGACATAACTTTATACATGAAGACAAAGCCTATGGGAAACCTGTTAGGAACTCCCACAGGAGATCGATCTTTCTAATCCACTCTGAGCAATGCTGGTTCTTCGTCATTCACAGCAATCAGTTTCTATGGGCCACACATCTGAATGGGCCACACATCTGAATGGGCCACACATCTGAATGGGCCACACATCTGAATGGGCCACACATCTGAATGGGTCACACATCTGAATGGGCCACACATCTGAATGGGCCACACATCTGAATGGGCCACACATCTGAATGGGCCACACATCTGAATGGGCCACACATCTGAATGGGCCACACATCTGAATGGGTCACACATCTGAATGAGTGTGGCCCATTCAGAAGGGTGTGGCCCATTCAGAAGGGTCACACATCTGAATGGGCCACACATCTGATTGGGCCACACATCTGAATGGGTCACACATCTGAATGGGTCACACATCTGAATGGGTCACACATCTGAATGGGTCACACATCTGAATGGGTCACACATCTGAATGGGCCACACATCTGAATGGGCCACACATCTGAATGGGCCACACATCTGAATGGGCCACACATCTGAATGGGCCAAACATCTGAATGGGTCACACATCTGAATGGGTCACACATCTGAATGGGTCACACATCTGAATGGGCCACACATCTGAATGGGCCACACATCTGAATGGGCCACACATCTGAATGGGCCACACATCTGAAGGGTCACACATCTGAATGGGTCACACATCTGAATGGGCCACACATCTGAATGGGCCACACATCTGAATGGGCCACACATCTGAATGGGCCACACATCTGAATGGGCCACACATCTGAATGGGCCACACATCTGAATGGGCCACACATCTGAATGGGCCACACATCTGAATGGGTCACACATCTGAATGGGCCACACATCTGAATGGGCCACACATCTGAATGGGTCACACATCTGAAGGGTCACACATCTGAATGGGCCACACATCTGAATGGGTCACACATCTGAATGGGCCACACATCTGAATGGGCCACACATCTGAATGGGCCACACATCTGAATGGGTCACACATCTGAATGGGCCACACATCTGAAGGGCCACACATCTGAATGGGTCACACATCTGAATGGGCCACACATCTGAATGGGTCACACATCTGAATGGGTCACACATCTGAATGGGTCACACATCTGAATGGGCCACACATCTGAATGGGCCACACATCTGAAGGGTCACACATCTGAATGGGCCACACATCTGAATGGGCCACACATCTGAATGGGCCACACATCTGAATGGGCCACACATCTGAATGGGCCACACATCTGAAGGGCCACACATCTGAATGGGCCACACATCTGAATGGGCCACACATCTGAATGGGCCACACATCTGAATGGGCCACACATCTGAAGGGTCACACATCTGAATGGGCCACACATCTGAATGGGTCACACATCTGAATGGGCCACACATCTGAATGGATCACACATCTGAATGAGTGTGGCCCATTCAGAAGGGTGTGGCCCATTCATCTGAGTGTGGCCCATTCAGAAGGGTCACACATCTGAATGGGTCACACATCTGAATGGGCCACACATCTGAATGGGTCACACATCTGAATGGGCCACACATCTGAATGGGCCACACATCTGAATGGGCCACACATCTGAATGGGCCACACATCTGAATGGGCCACACATCTGAATGGGCCACACATCTGAATGGGCCACACATCTGAATGGGTCACACATCTGAATGAGTGTGGCCCATTCAGAAGGGTGTGGCCCATTCATCTGAGTGTGGCCCATTCAGAAGGGTCACACATCTGAATGGGCCACACATCTGATTGGGCCACACATCTGAATGGGTCACACATCTGAATGGGCCACACATCTGAATGGGTCACACATCTGAATGGGTCACACATCTGAATGGGTCACACATCTGAATGGGTCACACATCTGAATGGGTCACACATCTGAATGGGTCACACATCTGAATGGGCCACACATCTGAATGGGCCACACATCTGAATGGGTCACACATCTGAATGGGCCACACATCTGAATGGGTCACACATCTGAATGGGCCACACATCTGAATGGGCCACACATCTGAATGGGCCACACATCTGAATGGGTCACACATCTGAATGGGCCACACATCTGAATGGGCCACACATCTGAATGGGCCACACATCTGAATGGGTCACACATCTGAATGGGCCACACATCTGAAGGGCCACACATCTGAATGGGTCACACATCTGAATGGGCCACACATCTGAATGGGTCACACATCTGAATGGGTCACACATCTGAATGGGTCACACATCTGAATGGGCCACACATCTGAATGGGCCACACATCTGAAGGGTCACACATCTGAATGGGCCACACATCTGAATGGGCCACACATCTGAATGGGCCACACATCTGAATGGGCCACACATCTGAATGGGCCACACATCTGAAGGGCCACACATCTGAATGGGCCACACATCTGAATGGGCCACACATCTGAATGGGCCACACATCTGAATGGGCCACACATCTGAAGGGTCACACATCTGAATGGGCCACACATCTGAATGGGTCACACATCTGAATGGGCCACACATCTGAATGGATCACACATCTGAATGAGTGTGGCCCATTCAGAAGGGTGTGGCCCATTCATCTGAGTGTGGCCCATTCAGAAGGGTCACACATCTGAATGGGTCACACATCTGAATGGGCCACACATCTGAATGGGTCACACATCTGAATGGGCCACACATCTGAATGGGCCACACATCTGAATGGGCCACACATCTGAATGGGCCACACATCTGAATGGGCCACACATCTGAATGGGCCACACATCTGAATGGGCCACACATCTGAATGGGTCACACATCTGAATGAGTGTGGCCCATTCAGAAGGGTGTGGCCCATTCATCTGAGTGTGGCCCATTCAGAAGGGTCACACATCTGAATGGGCCACACATCTGATTGGGCCACACATCTGAATGGGTCACACATCTGAATGGGCCACACATCTGAATGGGTCACACATCTGAATGGGTCACACATCTGAATGGGTCACACATCTGAATGGGTCACACATCTGAATGGGTCACACATCTGAATGGGTCACACATCTGAATGGGCCACACATCTGAATGGGCCACACATCTGAATGGGTCACACATCTGAATGGGCCACACATCTGAATGGGTCACACATCTGAATGGGCCACACATCTGAATGGGCCACACATCTGAATGGGCCACACATCTGAATGGGCCACACATCTGAATGGGCCACACATCTGAATGGGTCACACATCTGAATGGGTCACACATCTGAATGGGTCACACATCTGAATGGGCCACACATCTGAATGGGCCACACATCTGAATGGGTCACACATCTGAATGGGCCACACATCTGAATGGGTCACACATCTGAATGGGCCACACATCTGAATGGGCCACACATCTGAATGGGTCACACATCTGAAGGGTCACACATCTGAAGGGTCACACATCTGAAGGGTCACACATCTGAATGGGCCACACATCTGAATGGGCCACACATCTGAATGGGCCACACATCTGAATGGGCCACACATCTGAATGGGTCACACATCTGAATGGGCCACACATCTGAATGGGCCACACATCTGAATGGGTCACACATCTGAATGGGCCACACATCTGAAGGGCCACACATCTGAATGGGTCACACATCTGAATGGGCCACACATCTGAAGGGTCACACATCTGAATGGGTCACACATCTGAATGGGCCACACATCTGAATGGGCCACACATCTGAATGGGCCACACATCTGAAGGGTCACACATCTGAATGGGTCACACATCTGAATGGGCCACACATCTGAATGGGCCACACATCTGAATGGGTCACACATCTGAATGGGCCACACATCTGAATGGGTCACACATCTGAATGGGTCACACATCTGAATGGGCCACACATCTGAAGGGTCACACATCTGAATGGGCCACACATCTGAATGGGCCACACATCTGAATGGGTCACACATCTGAATGGGCCACACATCTGAATGGGTCACACATCTGAATGGGTCACACATCTGAATGGGCCATTTGGCACATACATTTGCAGACACAGACAGAGTGGATTACATCTGATCCACAGTCACAATGTAAATGAATCTGATGACTGAAAATACAAAAAAATCCATCAGTTTCCACGTCAGAGTCGGAGTTTCCACGTTCAGCATGGCGGAGGAGAGAGCGATTGCGGCTGTGACTGATATTCTTTATTAGTTTTTCCACAACAGCCGCATCATCTTGTATTGTTGTTAAAGTCGTGCATATTTACGTGTATGAATAATCATTTGAAGCATTTTGTGTGTTTTATACACAGCGAAGATTGTCACAGGACGCTACATTTTATTCAAAATCCTGAAAAATATCTTCAATACATTTGGCTTTAATAAAATTTCCCCAAGATAGGCGGAACAAACCCGGGGCTTCATTTATCAATTGTTGGGTAGAAAGAATATTAACAGATGTTTTACCTGAATGCAAATTCAGCATTGATTTTAAGAATATGTACTTTTCCAACAACAACAAAAACCACCTTAATTGTTTTTTAAAATAATTGATTAAACTGCAAAGCTCAGAGTCATAAAGGCATTTCTTCATACGACAGATGTAGTATTATATAAAATATTTCTTTATGGTCAGTTTTTTTCTCTCTCTCATTTGAGAGAAGCTTCTTAATCTTTATTGGTTTCTTTTTTGAAGATTTTAGATTTCCGAAACCGTTCCGTTCCTCTTGAATATGAAATCTTTCTATTGACAAAACGATGCAAAAAGAATTGATAAATAAACACATGAAATTGAAAACGATGAGTTTCATAAAATAGTTTATTTACAAAAGCAACGGCTACAACAGCGCCACCACATCATCACCGTAGGCGTGTGCTGTCGTCATGGTGACCAGGTCAGGAGGCGGAGTCAGAACCGCCGAATCTGGAGCGAGAAGAGAATTCAATTCACATTATTTGTATAGCGCTTTACAGAAGTGCATGAGTCCACATTACATTATTTCAGAAATGGAGATATACAAAATCACAGGTAGCGAAACACGTATTAATTTAAACAATGTAATAATTTAATGCATAAACACAGAGCTCATTGAAGTAATAAATACTTGTTTGTTACCGAATGATATTGGCACTTATAAACATTGCTTGTTGCAGAAGCGTCAGAAGCTCGTGGTGTGTGTGGACTGTACCGTGTGTTCGTAACATGGCGTGATGCAGATTCATGTTCACCATCGAGTCACTGCCTCCATCAGCCTCCAGCAAACTGCTGTGAGTGAGCGCCTCACCTGTCAATCACACAGAGACACGCCCCCTCAGACTGACATCAGCTCGTCACAACACAGTGACACACGCACACACTGTTACACACAGTTACACGCACGCACGCACACACACACACACACTGTTACACACAGTTACACGCACGCACGCACGCACACACACACACACACACACTCTTACACACAGTTACACGCACGCACGCACACACACACACACACAGTTACACACACACACACACACACACACACACACACACACACACACACACACACACTCTGTTACACATGCACACACACACTGTTACGCACGCGCGCGCGCGCGCACTTAACTGATACACACTACTAGTCAAAAGTTTTGGATCGGTAAGATTTTTTATGTTTTAAAAAGAAGTCTCTTCTGCTCACCAAAGCTGCAGTAATTTGATTAAAAAAAGATTGATGATAATATTAATAATCATATTACATATTAATCATACAAAAATATTACTGATAATAATCATAAATGTTTCTTGAGCATCAGATCCTCATATTAGAGTGATTTCTGAAGGATCATGTGACACTGAAGACTGGAGTAATGGTGCTGAAAATTCAGCTTTGATCACAGGAATAAATTACACTTTACTGTATATTCACATAGAAAACAGATGATTTACATTATAATAATATTTCACTGTTTTTACTGTATTTTTAATCAAATTAATGCAGTCTTGGTGAGCAGAAGAGACTTCTTTAAAAACATTAAAAATCTCACAATCCAGAACGTTTGCCTGGTAGTGTGTGCATATCTGAAACACACGTCACACATGTATGATTATGATTATGGTTATGGTTATGAATATGATCTGGTACCGGTTTCTCTGCTGTGTCTCTTCTTCATGTGGACGTTCCTGCTGCCGCTCTGAGAGAACGTCTTCCCACAGATCGAGCAGACGTGAGGCTTCTCTCCTGAACACGCATCAGCACACCAGTTACAATCTCACACCAGTTACAATCTCACACCAGTTGTCAATCTCACACCAGTTACAATCTCACACCAGTTACAATCTCACACCAGTTACAATCTCACACCAGTTACAATCTCACACCAGTTACAATCTCACACCAGTTGTCAATCTCACACCAGTTACAATCTCACACCAGTTACAATCTCACGCCAGTTACAATCTCACACCAGTTGTCAATCTCACACCAGTTGTCAATCTCACACCAGTTATCAATCTCACACCAGTTACAACCTCACACCAGTTACAATCTCACACCAGTTACAATCTCACACCAGTTACAATCTCACACCAGTTACAATCTCACACCAGTTACAATCTCACACCAGTTGTCAATCTCACACCAGTTACAATCTCACACCAGTTACAATCTCACGCCAGTTACAATCTCACACCAGTTGTCAATCTCACACCAGTTACAATCTCACACCAGTTACAATCTCACACCAGTTACAATCTCACACCAGTTACAATCTCACACCAGTTACAATCTCACACCAGTTGTCAATCTCACACCAGTTACAATCTCACGCCAGTTACAATCTCACACCAGTTGTCAATCTCACACCAGTTACAATCTCACACCAGTTACAATCTCACACCAGTTACAATCTCACACCAGTTGTCAATCTCACACCAGTTGTCAATCTCACACCAGTTGTCAATCTCACACCAGTTACAATCTCACACCAGTTATCAATCTCACACCAGTTGTCAATCTCACACCAGTTGTCAATCTCAGACCAGTTGTCAATCTCACACCAGTTATCAATCTCACACCAGTTACAATCTCACACCAGTTACAATCTCACACCAGTTACAATCTCACACCAGTTACAATCTCACGCCAGTTACAATCTCACACCAGTTGTCAATCTCACACCAGTTGTCAATCTCACACCAGTTGTCAATCTCACACCAGTTACAATCTCACACCAGTTACAATCTCACACCAGTTACAATCTCACACCAGTTACAATCTCACGCCAGTTACAATCTCACACCAGTTGTCAATCTCACACCAGTTACAATCTCACGCCAGTTACAATCTCACACCAGTTACAATCTCACACCAGTTGTCAATCTCTTGTCACACCAGTTACAATCTCACACCAGTTACAATCTCACACCAGTTACAATCTCACACCAGTTGTCAATCTCTTGTCACACCAGTTACAATCTCACACCAGTTACAATCTCAAACCAGTTACAATCTCACACCAGTTGTCAATCTCACACCAGTTGTCAATCTCACACCAGTTGTCAATCTCAGACCAGTTGTCAATCTCACACCAGTTGTCAATCTCACACCAGTTACAATCTCACACCAGTTACAAACAATCTCACACCAGTTACAATCTCACACCAGTTACAATCTCACACCAGTTACAATTAGGGATGGGACGATACACTTAAACTCACGATACGATGCACCTCGATATGCCAGGGTCACGATACGATACGTCACGATACGATATCAAAAAAGGAAAAAAAAGAAAAAAATATTACTGTATAACAACAACTTATTCATTTGCTTTGGCCGCCAAAGCAAATGTGTGTCCCGCCAAAGCCTTTTTTGATCGGCGAGTGATGTAGAATGAATTGACTGCTGCGCTTGACAATGACAGGGCGCATAACGAGCAGAGAGAGAGAGAGAGAGAGAGAGAGAGAGAGAGCGAGAGAGAGAGAGAGAGAGAGAGAGAGAGAGAGAGAGAGAGAGAGAGAGAGAGAGAGAGAGAGAGAGAGAGAGAGAGAGAGAGAGAGAGCGAGAGAGAGAGAGAGAGAGAGAGAGAGAGCGCCCCGGCCGCGCGCGCGCACTCTCACGTCTTCAAACAAAACGAGCGCTGTCTTGCTCTCTCCCTCGCGCATATTAATCAAAATCAATTGACACGATAGTAAAAGGTCGGAAGACCGCAGTTTCACGTGGAGCATTTGGAGATTTGAGACTCTAGGCTTACTTAGACTCAATGAACAACATCTCAACACTAAATTATAAAGGCCGGTCTCATATAGACGCCTGTCTCAAATACAAGCCGGTGCAGTTCGACGATTTGGGAAAATAAAAGCCCGGGCTATTATTTGAAGTTTTACGGTATATATATACATTTGACTCCATGGTCGGCTGTTTGGGGGCAAGGCATTTGGTACTGATGCCAGGGTTCTCAAGTTTTATCAAAAGCTTGGAGTGAGATCAACACATTCGGTTAGGGGAGGAGCCCCAATGGAGCCCCGCCCCCGCCCATCCCTGCCCCCGCCCATCCCTGCCCCCCAATTTTACCCATTGTTCATAATTAACCAGCACAAATTGAAATTATAACAATTGGTAAATCTGATAAATGACAGAGCAATTCATCACATCAAATATAGCCTACTCTTTAATGTTATATTTCAAAATTACAAATATACAAAAATTACAAAAATATAACAAATTGCTCCAAACAGTTTGGAAAAACAAATCTTTTTGCATTTTGAATGTGTCGAAATGGTATAATGATTTATTGTGTGGTGGGACATTGTGAACAAATGGACATATTAGAGTATTAAGGTGTGTGTGTGTGTGTGTGTGTGTGCACAAATATCTTTTTGCTTTTTCCCTGACATCTTTGAAAAATAAAAATGCAATGGCAATGATTAATGTATGTTTTGACAGGATATAAAATATTACCCAGAGCACTCTGCTTTAATACATGTAGCCTTAATGTAACTAGAAAGACTATTAATACAGTATAATATATAATTTAAAATAAAATGAAGAAATACATTTTCATTCCTTCCCATACCCACTAACATTTCCCTTATAGTTTCAGGTAATGTAAGCTAGCCAAACTGAGCCAAAGCTTCTGGCCTGGTTGCAAAGTAGTTGTTGAGTTTTTGACTGCATCAATAATATGTACACGATGGGGCTATATATTAAATGTTCTAACCTAAAAATGTTAGACGAGCTTTCTTCCCTTCTCCATCACGACGCGTGTTTGCGTGATGTTGTTGGTTACCTAGTAACGAACGTACAGTGGCCGAGAATGTTCCGTCAACTTCCGTGTGTTCGCGCGTCTATGTTGCCTAACGAACGCAATCTGGCCGAGAGATACGTGCTGGCGGCAGGAAACTTTACTTTGTGTGCCTGCGCCTCGTATACAACGTTATATATAAAGCTTGCAGGACAACTTGGTTGGCATTGCCTTTTCAGCGTGAGATATACACGGTGTGGCGTGTGAGCGTGTGAACTGGTTGAATTGCGTGTGTCTCACGGCCAATGCGTGAGACTTGAGAACCCTGTGATGCTAATATTTGTTAGCTCGCTGTAGACTGCAGTGTTGTTGTTGCAACATGCGCTGTCTTGACGTGATGACGTACCGCACCGTTCCCCGGATATAATTTTTTTTTCATTTAGTTTTACCCTGCTTGATCAGCAGATGGTGCTGCCAGCCTGCCACCATAGACTGTGTGTCTGCCCCATATACATACACACACACATATAATACACTAAATTATTTATATACTACGCAAATCATGCAGCAGTGCCATCTATCTTTATTTCGCGATCCATTTTTTTCGACCTCGATGCGTTTCGTCACGTTTTGTATCGCGATATTTCGTCAAACGATATTTCGTCCCATCCCTAGTTACAATCTCACACCAGTTGTCAATCTCACACCAGTTGTCAATCTCACACCAGTTACAATCTCACACCAGTTGTCAATCTCACACCAGTTGTCAATCTCACACCAGTTACAATCTCACACCAGTTGTCAATCTCACACCAGTTACAATCTCACACCAGTTACAATCTCACACCAGTTACAATCTCACACCAGTTGTCAATCTCACACCAGTTGTCAATCTCACACCAGTTGTCAATCTCACACCAGTTACAATCTCACACCAGTTGTCAATCTCACACCAGTTACAATCTCACACCAGTTACAATCTCACACCAGTTGTCAATCTCACACCAGTTGTCAATCTCACACCAGTTGTCAATCTCACACCAGTTGTCAATCTCACACCAGTTACAATCTCACACCAGTTGTCAATCTCACACCAGTTGTCAATCTCACACCAGTTACAATCTCACACCAGTTACAATCTCACACCAGTTACAATCTCACACCAGTTACAATCTCACACCAGTTGTCAATCTCAAACCAGTTACAATCTCACACCAGTTACAATCTCACACCAGTTGTCAATCTCACACCAGTTGTCAATCTCACACCAGTTACAATCTCACACCAGTTATCAATCTCACATCAGTTACAATCTCACACCAGTTGTCAATCTCACACCAGTTACAATCTCACACCAGTTATCAATCTCACACCAGTTACAATCTCACACCAGTTACAATCTCACACCAGTTGTCAATCTCACACCAGTTACAATCTCACACCAGTTACAATCTCACACCAGTTACAATCTCACACCAGTTGTCAATCTCACACCAGTTACAATCTCACACCAGTTATCAATCTCACACCAGTTACAATCTCACACCAGTTGTCAATCTCACACCAGTTACAATCTCACGCCAGTTATCAATCTCACACCAGTTACAATCTCACACCAGTTGTCAATCTCACACCAGTTGTCAATCTCACACCAGTTACAATCTCACACCAGTTGTCAATCTCACACCAGTTACAATCTCACACCAGTTACAATCTCATACCAGTTACAATCTCACACCAGTTGTCAATCTCACCAGTTGTCAATCTCACACCAGTTACAATGTCACCAGTTGTCAATCTCACACCAGTTGTCAATCTCACACCAGTTGTCAATCTCACACCAGTTACAATCTCACACCAGTTACAATCTCACACCAGTTGTCAAACGCACACCAGTTGTCAATCTCACACCAGTTGTCAATCTCACACCAGTTGTCAATCTCACACCAGTTACAATCTCACACCAGTTGTCAATCTCACACCAGTTGTCAATCTCACACCAGTTACAATCTCACACCAGTTGTCAATCTCACACCAGTTGTCAATCTCACACCAGTTACAATCTCACACCAGTTGTCAATCTCACACCAGTTGTCAATCTCAATCTCACACCAGTTGTCAATCTCACACCAGTTGTCAATCTCATACCAGTTACAATCTCACACCAGTTGTCAATCTCACACCAGTTGTCAATCTCACACCAGTTACAATCTCACACCAGTTGTCAATCTCACACCAGTTACAATCTCACACCAGTTACAATCTCACACCAGTTGTCAATCTCACACCAGTTACAATCTCACACCAGTTGTCAATCTCACACCAGTTGTCAATCTCACACCAGTTGTCAATCTCACACCAGTTGTCAATCTCACACCAGTTACAATCTCACACCAGTTATCAATCTCACACCAGTTACAATCTCACACCAGTTGTCAATCTCACACCAGTTACAATCTCACACCAGTTATCAATCTCACACCAGTTACAATCTCACACCAGTTACAATCTCACACCAGTTGTCAATCTCACACCAGTTACAATCTCACACCAGTTACAATCTCACACCAGTTACAATCTCACACCAGTTGTCAATCTCACACCAGTTACAATCTCACACCAGTTATCAATCTCACACCAGTTACAATCTCACACCAGTTGTCAATCTCACACCAGTTACAATCTCACACCAGTTATCAATCTCACACCAGTTACAATCTCACACCAGTTGTCAATCTCACACCAGTTACAATCTCACACCAGTTGTCAATCTCACACCAGTTACAATCTCACACCAGTTACAATCTCACACCAGTTACAATCTCTCACCAGTTGTCAATCTCACACCAGTTGTCAATCTCACACCAGTTACAATCTCACACCAGTTACAATCTCACACCAGTTGTCAATCTCACACCAGTTGTCAATCTCACAATCTCACAATCTCACAATCTCACACCAGTTGTCAATCTCACACCAGTTGTCAATCTCACACCAGTTGTCAATCTCACACCAGTTGTCAATCTCACACCAGTTACAATCTCACACCAGTTGTCAATCTCACACCAGTTGTCAATCTCACACCAGTTGTCAATCTCACACCAGTTATCAATCTCACACCAGTTACAATCTCACACCAGTTGTCAATCTCACACCAGTTACAATCTCACACCAGTTATCAATCTCACACCAGTTGTCAATCTCACACCAGTTGTCAATCTCACACCAGTTACAATCTCACACCAGTTATCAATCTCACACCAGTTACAATCTCACACCAGTTATCAATCTCACACCAGTTATCAATCTCACACCAGTTACAATCTCACACCAGTTATCAATCTCACACCAGTTACAATCTCACACCAGTTACAATCTCACACCAGTTGTCAATCTCACACCAGTTGTCAATCTCACACCAGTTACAATCTCACACCAGTTACAATCTCACACCAGTTACAATCTCACACCAGTTGTCAATCTCACACCAGTTGTCAATCTCACACCAGTTACAATCTCACACCAGTTACAATCTCACACCAGTTGTCAATCTCACAACAGTTACAATCTCACACCAGTTACAATCTCACACCAGTTACAATCTCACACCAGTTACAATCTCACACCAGTTACAATCTCACACCAGTTGTCAATCTCACACCAGTTGTCAATCTCACACCAGTTACAATCTCTCACCAGTTGTCAATCTCACACCAGTTGTCAATCTCACACCAGTTACAATCTCACACCAGTTACAATCTCACACCAGTTAAAATCTCACACCAGTTATCAATCTCACACCAGTTACAATCTCACACCAGTTGTCAATCTCACACCAGTTGTCAATCTCACACCAGTTACAATCTCACACCAGTTGTCAATCTCACACCAGTTGTCAATCTCACACCAGTTACAATCTCACACCAGTTACAATCTCACACCAGTTTCAATCTCACACCAGTTTCAATCTCACACCAGTTGTCAATCTCACACCAGTTGTCAATCTCACTCCAGTTGTCAATCTCACACCAGTTGTCAATCTCACTCCAGTTGTCAATCTCACACCAGTTGTCAATCTCACACCAGTTGTCAATCTCACACCAGTTGTCAATCTCACTCCAGTTGTCAATCTCACACCAGTTGTCAATCTCACACCAGTTACAATCTCACACCAGTTATCAATCTCACACCAGTTGTCAATCTCACACCAGTTGTCAATCTCACACCAGTTACAATCTCACACCAGTTGTCAATCTCAGAGTTATTATGTGCGTTACTTCAGTTATTATGGGTGCAGATTGGAATTGAAAAACAACTGAATCAAAGTGATATTGTTCACAGTCATCAACACTATAATTACAAACACACAATATTGTGATTTACAACCCAACCTAAGACACCGTGTGAAGTCATGTGACCTACCGGAGTGTACGAGCATGTGTTTGCGCAGACTGGAGTATTCTGCGAAGGATCGACCGCAACTGTCCACGTCACACAGGAACGGCTTTTCTCCTGAAAATACCAGCAATTCAAACACCGACATAAGCATTACGTACAAAATTACAATAATACTAACAAAAAGTATTACTTGTAAGCATTGACTGGAATAATCAAGATTTTTTAATGTTTTAGAACTTCTGTTCACAAAGACTGCACGAAAAATACAGTAAAAAAAGTGAAATATTATTATAATGTAAATCATCTGTTTTCTATGTGAATATACAGTAAAGTGTAATTTATTCCTGTGATCAAAGCTGTATTTTCAGCATCATTACTCCAGTCTTCAGTGTCACATGATCCTTCAGAAATCACTCTAATATGAGGATCTGATGCTCAAGAAACATTTATGATTATTATCAATGATAAAAACAGTTATTTACATTTTTATTTCAGGATTCTTTGATTAATAGAAAGTTCAAAAGAACAGCATTTATCTGAAATATAATCTTTTGTAACTTTATAAATGTCTTTACTGTCACTTTTGATCAATTTATTTCATCCTTGATGATTAAGTGTCTTTTATTTTATCAGACTTTTGAATGAAATTGTATCATGGTTTCCAAAATATTTGAAGTGGTTTTATAAACTGTTTTTATTATATTTACCATTATTAATAATTGAGATATAATAATTGCATAGAGTGATTTCTGAAGGATCATGTGACACTGAAGACTGGAGTAATGATGCTGAAAATACAGCTTTGATCACAGGAATAAATTACACTTTACTGTATATTCACATAGAAAATAACTCATTTAAATTGTAATATTTCACAATATTACTGCGTTTTGATCATATAAATGCAGCTTTGATGAGCAGAAGAGACTCTTTCAAAAACATTTAAAAAAATATTTTTGTATAGGAAATCTATCATTTTGATTGATTCTTCATTCTATGATACACAGTCAAAGCTAAATCTATTCAGAACACCTTCAACATTTCTCACATTATCACGGTTTATTCACTATAGTTCAGAAAATGGTAATGTAATATGACGCTAACTCAGAGTTCTCAGATCAGTGGATATTTGACTGGTTTTGTCCGTCCTTCTGTTAGACTCTCACACATGAATTATGTTGAATATCTGTCAGCTGTTAAATTTAACTACACAATTAGATAATACCAGTTTAGCTCAACCAGTGACCAAGCAATGCTTCATGTTGTTCAGTGTGTGTGTAAAAAGAGCATTAGCAATTACAGAAAACACACTTCAGCAGAACATGATCAGCTCAAAGTGGAGGAATCATTATTGCTCCCACATTTTTAATGGAAGTTAAATTTATAATAATATTTGTGTGTAATTTGTCGCAGTTTACTTTATTTTGCTCTCCTCACTTACATAAATGAACTATAGTGTCCTGATCACACTAGTGAAAACATGTCAAAAATGATCTGGTGTCTGAATAATTTTTTATTTGACTGTATAAATAAACATCCTCATGTATGAATATAATAATGCTGAGTCCAGTGTGTGTGTGTGTGTGTGTGTGTGTGTGTACCGGTGTGTGTGCGTCTGTGGTTCTTCAGGTTCCCAGCAGTGGTGAATCTCTTCCCACAGTTCTTCTCACTGCAGATGAAGGGTTTCTCTCCGTTGTGGATCCTCATGTGAACCTGAAGCCTCTGAAGAACATAGAAACTCTTCCCACAACCCTCGGCTCCACAGCGGAACGTGCGGTCATTCCTGAAACACACACACACACACACTCTCTACAGCTGGAAATATAACAGAAACACACGAAATCAAACAAATGGACAATTCTTGTTTTTATGGAATATTGCAGTGTTTATTATAAATGATTTATCGGTGCACATCATTATTGTGTTAATAGTGTTGAATCAGTTCCTCTTGCAGCATCTCTTCTCTTCTCTGATGATGTGGGCGGGGCTATAACCTGTCACTCACATGAGATCAGCCAATAGCAAACCACAACCATCCAATCAGCTCCCCACAGACACAATCAAGCCCCGCCCACATGTGCTCCTGTTCCAGAAACGTTTCACTCGGATATACGACACAATAGAGGAAAATATGATCACAACTTCCCTTTCATATATACATTCATCCTTAAACCCTGCATGAGTGACTTCCTCCAGAACACGTGTTTTCACCTTAGAAAAGAGCACCTGCTTTAAATGTGTCCAGGTTTCATTACACCCCAAAAACAAAGGGGGAAAAATAAACAAATATATTTACATAAACAAAATTAAGCCTGTTTCATAATTATAAAGCTTTTTATTTTGCATTGTGACATTATTTTCATGACAATTAAACCCGCAAAATCTTGTTCTCATTACTGTAAAATATTTTTTTAAATCAATCAGCATCAGGGTGCAACAAGATTAAATATTATTATAAATCACAATTTAAATGTTTTTTGCACTTTAATTTGGTGATTTACAAGTAAAAAAAATAATAATAATTAATTGGAGTCATAACTTACAAAGTCATAATGCATGTTCAAAAATATATTAGAATGCAATTCATACAAACAGTGACTATAAAACATCTCTTCTAAAAAAATTAAAAATAAATTAAGTAAACTTAAAAAGAAAAAAATGTTTTAGAAAATGAGCACCAAAAAAGGCTAAAATCCTAAAAAATATATAAATAAAATATAATTTTGAAGTTGAATTATTATTTGAAAAATATCAGTGCTGGGCAACTATTAATCGCATCCAAAATTAAAGTTTGTGTTTACATATTATATGTGTGTGTACTGTGTATAATTATTTTTGTATATATAAATACACACACATGCATGTATATTTAAGAAAAATGTACAATTTATTTATAAAATATTTAGATTTATATATAATATAAATTATGTATAAATATATATACAGTATAAATATATAATGTATAAATATATATACAGTATATACATGCAAATATTTCTTAAATATATACATTGTATGCATATGTGTGTACTTATATATACAAAATAATTTACAAAATAATGCGATTAATAGTTGCCCAGCACTAAAAAATATATTTAAACACTTTAAGTTATGGTGAGGTTGGTGTTTTCTGCATTACAGTAATGAGATCTGGGAATGAACGCGTTTAATTCTCAATGATCCTAAAAAAGGCTTCATTTTCTTTACGCAAAATATAACTGACTACTTTTGTGTTGAAAACGTCCGGTGCGTTACCTGTGAACGTGTGTGTGTGTGTGTTACCTGTGAGCGTGTGTGTTACCTGTGAACGTGTGTGTGTGTGTGTTTCCTGTGAGCGTGTGTTACCTGTGAGCGTGTGTTACCTGTGAGCGCGTGTGTGTTACCTGTGAGCGTGTGTGTGTGTGTGTTACCTGTGAGCGTGTGTGTGTGTGTGTTACCTGTGAGCGTGTGTGTGTTTCCTGTGAGCGTGTGTGTTACCTGTGAACGTGTGTGTGTGCGTTACCTGTGAGCGTGTGTGTGTTACCTGTGAGCGTGTGTGTGTTTCCTGTGAGCGTGTGTGTTACCTGTGAGCGTGTGTGTGTTACCTGTGAGCGTGTGTGTGTTTCCTGTGAGCGTGTGTGTTACCTGTGAACGTGTGTGTGTGCGTTACCTGTGAGCGTGTGTGTGTTACCTGTGAGCGTGTGTGTGTTTCCTGTGAGCGTGTGTGTTACCTGTGAGCGTGTGTGTTACCTGTGAGCGTGTGTTACCTGTGAGCGTGTGTTACCTGTGAGCGTGTGTGTTACCTGTGAGCGTGTGTGTTACCTGTGAGCGTGTGTGTTACCTGTGAGCGTGTGTTACCTGTGAGCGTGTGTGTTACCTGTGAGCGTGTGTGTTACCTGTGAGCGCGTGTGTGTTACCTGTGAGCGTGTGTGTGTGCGTTACCTGTGAGCGTGTGTGTGTTACCTGTGAGCGTGTGTGTGTTTCCTGTGAGCGTGTGTGTTACCTGTGAGCGTGTGTGTTTCCTGTGAGCGTGTGTGTTACCTGTGAGCGTGTGTGTTACCTGTGAGCGTGTGTGTTACCTGTGAGCGTGTGTGTTACCTGTGAGCGTGTGTGTTACCTGTGAGCGCGTGTGTGTTTCCTGTGAGCGTGTGTGTTACCTGTGAGCGTGTGTGTTACCTGTGAGCGTGTGTGTTACCTGTGAGCGCGTGTGTGTTACCTGTGAGGGTGTGTGTGTTACCTGTGAGCGTGTGTGTGTTTCCTGTGAGCGTGTGTGTTACCTGTGAACGTGTGTGTGTGCGTTACCTGTGAGCGTGTGTGTTACCTGTGAGCGTGTGTGTGTTTCCTGTGAGCGTGTGTGTTACCTGTGAACGTGTGTGTGTGCGTTACCTGTGAGCGTGTGTGTGTTACCTGTGAGCGTGTGTGTGTTTCCTGTGAGCGTGTGTGTTACCTGTGAGCGTGTGTGTTACCTGTGAGCGTGTGTTACCTGTGAGCGTGTGTTACCTGTGAGCGTGTGTGTTACCTGTGAGCGTGTGTTACCTGTGAGCGTGTGTGTTACCTGTGAGCGTGTGTGTTACCTGTGAGCGCGTGTGTGTTACCTGTGAGCGTGTGTGTGTGCGTTACCTGTGAGCGTGTGTGTGTTACCTGTGAGCGTGTGTGTGTTTCCTGTGAGCGTGTGTGTTACCTGTGAGCGTGTGTGTTTCCTGTGAGCGTGTGTGTTACCTGTGAGCGTGTGTGTTACCTGTGAGCGTGTGTGTTACCTGTGAGCGTGTGTGTTACCTGTGAGCGTGTGTGTTACCTGTGAGCGTGTGTGTGTTTCCTGTGAGCGTGTGTGTTACCTGTGAGCGTGTGTGTTACCTGTGAGCGTGTGTGTTACCTGTGAGCGCGTGTGTGTTACCTGTGAGGGTGTGTGTGTTACCTGTGAGCGTGTGTGTGTTTCCTATGAGCGTGTGTGTGTTACCTGTGAGCGTGTGTGTGTTACCTGTGAGCGTGTGTGTGTTACCTGTGAGCGTGTGTGTGTTTCCTGTGAGCGTGTGTGTTTCCTGTGAGCGTGTGTGTTTCCTGTGAGCGTGTGTGTGTTACCTGTGAGCGCGTGTGTTACCTGTGAGCGTGTGTGTGTTACCTGTGAGCGTGTGTGTGTTACCTGTGAGCGTGTGTGTTTCCTGTGAGCGTGTGTGTTACCTGTGAGCGTGTGTGTTACCTGTGAGCGTGTGTGTTACCTGTGAGCGCGTGTGTGTTACCTGTGAGCGTGTGTGTGTGCGTTACCTGTGAGCGTGTGTGTGTTACCTGTGAGCGCGTGTGTTACCTGTGAGCGTGTGTGTGTTACCTGTGAGCGTGTGTGTGTTACCTGTGAACGTGTGTGTTACCTGTGAACGTGTGCGTTACCTGTGAGCGTGTGTGTGTTACCTGTGAGCGTGTGTGTTACCTGTGAGCGTGTGTGTGTTTCCTGTGAGCGTGTGTGTTACCTGTGAACGTGTGTGTGTGCGTTACCTGTGAGCGTGTGTGTGTTACCTGTGAGCGTGTGTGTGTTTCCTGTGAGCGTGTGTGTTTCCTGTGAGCGTGTGTGTTTCCTGTGAGCGTGTGTGTGTTACCTGTGAGCGCGTGTGTTACCTGTGAGCGTGTGTGTGTTACCTGTGAGCGTGTGTGTGTTACCTGTGAGCGTGTGTGTTTCCTGTGAGCGTGTGTGTTTCCTGTGAGCGTGTGTGTTACCTGTGAGCGTGTGTGTGTTACCTGTGAGCGTGTGTGTTTCCTGTGAGCGTGTGTGTTACCTGTGAGCGTGTGTGTTACCTGTGAGCGTGTGTGTTACCTGTGAGCGCGTGTGTGTTACCTGTGAGCGTGTGTGTGTGCGTTACCTGTGAGCGTGTGTGTGTTACCTGTGAGCGTGTGTGTGTTTCCTGTGAGCGTGTGTGTTACCTGTGAGCGTGTGTGTTTCCTGTGAGCGTGTGTGTTACGTGAGCGCGTGTGTGTTACCTGTGAGCGTGTGTGTTACCTGTGAGCGTGTGTGTTACCTGTGAGCGTGTGTGTTACCTGTGAGCGTGTGTGTGTTTCCTGTGAGCGTGTGTGTTACCTGTGAGCGTGTGTGTTACCTGTGAGCGTGTGTGTTACCTGTGAGCGCGTGTGTGTTACCTGTGAGCGTGTGTGTTACCTGTGAGCGTGTGTGTGTTTCCTGTGAGCGTGTGTGTTACCTGTGAGCGTGTGTGTTACCTGTGAGCGTGTGTGTGTTACCTGTGAGCGTGTGTGTGTTTCCTGTGAGCGTGTGTGTTACCTGTGAGCGTGTGTGTTACCTGTGAGCACGTGTGTGTTACCTGTGAGCGTGTGTGTTACCTGTGAGCGTGTGTGTGTTACCTGTGAGCGTGTGTGTTACCTGTGAGCGCGTGTTACCTGTGAGCGTGTGTGTGTTTCCTGTGAGCATGTGTGTTACCTGTGAGCGTGTGTGTTACCTGTGAGCGTGTGTGTGTTACCTGTGAGCGTGTGTGTTACCTGTGAGCGTGTGTGTGTTACCTGTGAGCGTGTGTGTTACCTGTGAGCGTGTGTGTGACCTGTGAGCGTGTGTGTGTTACCTGTGAGCGTGTGTGTTACCTGTGAGCGTGTGTGTGTGTTACCTGTGAGCGTGTGTGTTACCTGTGAGCGTGTGTGTGTTACCTGTGAGCGTGTGTGTTACCTGTGAGCGTGTGTGTGTTACCTGTGAGCGTGTGTGTGTTACCTGTGAGCGCGTGTGTGTTACCTGTGAGCGCGTGTGTGTGTGTTTCCTGTGAGCGTGTGTGTGTTTCCTGTGAGCGTGTGTGTGTGTGTGTGTTACCTGTGAGC